ACAAAGTGGTTTGGGCTAAAATATCTCGAGCTTAGTTACAAAGCAGAAGTGGATTGCTCAGGAGAATCACACAAAAATTCCAGTTATCCAGCTCCGCAGCCCTTGTCCAGCAACATCGAGTCAACATGTATCTGCTTAACTTAGGACCTAGGGGCTGCAATGGCATTCATGCACGGGCTTAGCCTTGGAGCCTGGATGGAGGGATAAGGGATTTCCAGCTGTTTGTTTTGTTCTCCAATACTTAAAAAAACCTTTTCTTCTAAAGTTTGAGACTTGGCACCAGGGCAACCTGGAGGAGGGAACCCAGTTGCTGACTAACAAAGCTAGTTTTAGAAACAATCCTGTTAAGAGTGCATTGAAAATGCCAGTTTCCTCACTAAGCAAGCTACTTGCCTTCATGCTTTTTCCTCTGTACTGAAGAGCTGGGGCAGGCACACCATTTCATCCCGAGGCAGTGGGTTATTCTAGCTAACTTTCCACGTGATGGAAGAGCAGGAAGGGGTGGAGGGAACAGAACACCTCCCTGGTAATCCTTGGGGCCACCTTGAACGAGTAAGGACCAATGAGACTCCCGGGTAAGGCAGCGCTAAGTCCCCGCTGACCGGTGTGTCTGACCATTAGCATGCACCACTGGTTCTCAACATTGTTATACTCCAGGCGCTCCTCGTTAGACTCAAGTGCCCCCTCCGAAAATCCCAGCTTTTAGCTTTCACTTGATTCTTTTGGCTACAGACAAACAACAGAAAAAATCTTCTGTTCCAAAGACCTCAGAAAGCCCACAGCAGGGCAGAGTCATTTTGTCACTCTGGAGCCCTATTTGAAAACTCTGGGTTTATCCTGTGACTCACGTGTAGGTGTTTGCACACCAAGCAGTGCTAATATTGTGCAGGATCCCATGGCACCCTTAAAAGGATCTCATGTTGGGTCACCCTGGCTGAGAATCACTGGCAGACACCAATCAGGCTGCATGGAAATGGGGGCAGCTCTGTGCACACCAGTAACTGTACTTGCAATTTCGATATCGCTTTTTTCCCCTCAAAAAATTGCCACTAGCAGCCCTATGTTTATTCAAAGGTAATTTCAAGGCATATTTCTTTCTTTCTAGCATCTCAGAGTCCCTTACATTGGAAACATGCCGGTCACAATGACAACAATGGCATTTGACAGATGATTCGTTAGCAGACAACCCAGGGCATCCTAAAACAACTCTTTCCCTCCACTGCCACAGACAATCTGACTCAAAGCAGCAGCTCCACAACCTCACCACTCCCTGCTCCTTTCCACCGCTCCAAAACACATGGGAAAGATCTCAGGACTGTTCAGAGATGAGCCTGGTGTACCACAATGACGGTCTGACCCACCACCCACGGGGAAAGGCTCCTACTGACACCACTGGGGACCAATTCAAACCTTCAGCACAGAAAGCTGAAGCACCTAAACAGTCATGAATAAAACCACACATGATCTCAGGATCAAAGCCATTCCACCACAGAGCTGCATTAGGAGCGACTAGATGCCACTCTGTGTAAAAAATGAGCTTGGATTAGGAGAAAAGACTATTCTGAAGAAGCTGTGGAGGGTCTGCACTGTAATTGGTTCCACATGCTGTGATCGTACCTCAGGGCAAATCTGTTTTTGGATGTGGTGATAAATAGATTAAATGCGTGTTTGAAAAACAGTATCCCCTAGTGACTCTAATTGTCTGATCCTAGATTTTCAGGAACTTGGCAATCCCAATGATCCATGCAGAAATGTCCTTTTAAGAGCAACAGCTGTTGCAAAGAGGATAATACTATGCAGAGAAAGCCAACAGGGAGCTTCAATGCCATGGGATTGTTGCTGAGGCAAAGCAAGCAGGCCAGTTTAGGACAAATGTTTGCAATGGGCTAGAGAGGGGCTATGCTCAGCCTTTCCATATGTGTACCACTGGCATCACAGAAACATTTACTGACCTTGTGATAAACAGCAATACTAATGGCAAGGCATCTGCATTGCCAGTGTATAAACTGTGCCAGTCTACTCTGCCTTTCTTACCTCTTAAGGAGAAATTCTATCAAAGGGAGGTATTTAATAACTTTATATGGAAATAGGGGGGTGATTAAATTAGAGGAATCTTCCATATTACAGACACTGATGGACAGTCAGATCCAAAACTAGAAGTCAAGTACTTCAGATGGACAGAAGTCTCTGGAGAACACATCAAGAAGTTTCTACCATGGCAGGTAGTATGTCCCACTGATGACTAGGAGTAATGAAGTCAGATGGATCTTCCATGAGGAGAGCTGGAAAAGTTACAGGAGAAATTGCAGGAGGTTGTTTATAAAGTAACAAGAACATACCTTGTATGGATGCCCCTTCCTTCCAGAAGAAAGGCTGAAATCATCTCATAAAGTGACACAGGAGAAATGCCATGGGCGAACAAAAAGCTCTATTATAATTTGGTAAATCTAAAGGTTTAATGACTTCAGATTAGGTTAATTAAACAACTTGGGAAAGCTCAGCTTAATTCAGGCAAAAACCACTGCTGGAGGCAACGTCTTGGAGCAGAGGAGACAACAATCTACACCTGTGCTCTTGCAGCTCTTGCAGAACATGAAGTACGTCTTTAGACTGGAATAAATTGTCACTGACTCACTGGGATGCTTGTCTGAGGAACCAGGCAGAAACCTGGAAGGACCCAGATAAGTGATTCATTTGGTAGCTTCAAAGGGGATGTCTATATCTCTTTTTGAGTGAGACCAGGCAAGCTACTCAGAGATAAGTCGTGCCCACTTGTGTCTGCTCCCTGAACCCAGGCTCACAAAACTGCAGAACTGGTGTCTTGGGGCAGTGCCAAGCATATACCCTGGCACCATATTCAGACTCTCCCAAGTCACAGAGCCCAAGCACAGTGCAGAGGGATGCTCTCAGGGATGAACCAAGCCATCTAATCAGCATATTTGTGAGCTTCAGCATGTGGGAAGCATGCTGGCTTAATCCTCTGTGGTGTACCTGGTGCTGCTCAGGAGGTGATGCAGATATTCCTTAAGAAACCGGATCATGGAATAGCTTGATCACAAAAGTGAAATGGCATTTTCTTAACATCCAGCGCTGAACCAGAATTCAGCATCCAGCGTTAACCACTTCCAGGATTTTCCTAGCTTGGAGTCTGAGCCATCTTCAGTCTTCCAATGCTTCTTCTAGAAAGGAATCAGGTTATAATAGCCAGGGGTATCTTTCATCCACTCCTGAAATGTCTCCAGCCAAAACCCCCAGGTTTCCTGATGCTTTTATTCAATGCAATTCAAGTGGAGTCATTACATGAGATCATACAGTAACAGACCTGTAGCATATGATGTGACTGTCAATGATACAGGAAGTAATAAACTTCAGGACAATTCTTACAACATTAAAAACCAGGAAGAAGCCATTTGTGCTTTTACCCACCATGCTCCTTGCTTCATTTCAGAAATGCGTTTGTTTAACATACACGGAGGCGACAACCTGCCAGTTTCTGCAGCACACACAGAAATGTCAACGGGAAAAGCCAACCAAAGCATCTTGAGTCTGTTGGTTGACGCTTCAAAATATAATGGTGTTGTGCAGAAACCACCTGTCAGACAACTCAAAACTGTCAATCGAAACTGTCCCTTCTGGCTTCAGTGTCTATGGCTGGGATTTTCAGAAGAGCCAAAGTAAGTTAGATGCCCAACTTCCACTGAAAGTCAATGGGAGACAGAAATTCCCGTAGGGCCCAATGAAAACAGAGAGCATCCATGAAGATGCATCTTCTGTCATGTTCTGATCATGCTGATTTCTTCTGGTACGGCATTCAGACTAAGACAGTTACTTGCAGCAATCACTGGGTGATGCTGTTCAGCAGTGAGACCATATACCCAGGCTCTCATCAAGAAGCAGCAGAGAAGAAAGAGTCCGGGGCCAAGCTGGAGGCATGTACATTCATATTCTCCAAGTTTTTTCTTTACCTGCGGTTTGAACCTGACTTCTTGAGAACAGCTCTGACTAGCACATGCAACTGCATCACCAAGGAGAAAACAGCCCCTGAAAGGGACGTGGATCATCTGTCGATAAAACAACGCAGGTGCCTTCAACTCGAGGAAATTCTGAAAAGATAATGTCAACAGACAAAGGGAGCCATCTAAGAATGGTCTCACTACTATACTAATGGAGCTAGGCGATGCCAAGGCATGCCTTGCTATAGGAAGAGACACTGATCCTTGAACAATGTTCCACTGAAACAGCTTTACTTCTGTTATAAACTCAGCCTAGTTTTGGCCATTTTAGTTGCTGTGTATAACTGGTCCGGTGCAGGGTGACAGTAGACCACAGGCCTAACCTGAAACTCACTGAAGTCAATGACAACCTTGGGGCCCAATCCTGTGACATTAACGGGAGCCCAGAATGCTCAGCACCAGGCAGCATAGTGTGCTCATCTGTCAAACTCAAAGCAACTTATTTGCAGAGGCACTAGCAGCTTTGGAAACACTGGGACTTCACAGACATATTGCTGTGCAACTGGCCATTGGCTTCATGGACACGTTCTATCTGAACAACGGAGAGGCATCCAGCTTCTGACTGGGTGGCTTCCAAACCATCCGGTGGGGAAACATTTTGTTTTTACTGAATCACTTGTTACGTCTAGAAACCAAATCATCATTTGGCCTAGTTCTAAAAAAACAAGCTCAGCACAGCAGGGTGAGGAGAGAGGAGCCCCAGGGAGCCTGCAGAGTGCGGGAAGCCAGGACACAAGCAGCCCTGGGTAGCAAGAGGGAAAAGCATACATGGAGGCCAGTCACCTGTGGTCTGATCTGGAAGCGAGACCCCAGGACACTATGCATCAGCAGAGGTGACCACATACAACCTGGGAGCAGCAAAACAAAATGCAGTATTGGTTTTGCAGATGCTTAGTCAAGCAGAGTTCTCAATGACGGGGATTTTAACATCCTGGGGTCTGAGCTACGAGGATCCATTGTCAAAACAACAGCACGTGAAGTCCTCTATTAACCATTTGCCTTGAGTTTTTAATGTTCTCAGAGGAGAGGGTAGCAACTCCAGAGGCTCTGGGGAAAGTGCATGTGAGTGTAACCTCGTTCATTAAATAGAAAGCTTGAAAACCCTGTTCTGTGTGTTTGCCATGAGCTGAAATAGGGGCCACAGGAAGGAATGGGAGTAAAATAGATTTACTGGGGCGAAGAGATCATATGATATATTTTAAATATATCACATCAGTCCAAAAAGTGTTAAACATAACAAAAGATGACAACCTCTTATGTAATTTCACTAGGCTTTTCTCAAGGTAGAAGTCAATATTTTGATCACCTTTAGGTTGGGGTTGCAAAGAGGATATTGCAAGTAGCACCCCATCCCACTCAAATCATCTGAAGGGTCAAAAGAAAAGCAATGACCCTAACTTTAAAACCTTGGAAGCAACTCTGAACAGGTATATGCAATAGCACAGGAGAAAAATAAAGTGGCATTTCCTTAGGTTTTGGCTAACGCTAAACATGCCTATTTTATTCCCACTGGGAAATCAGTTCAATGACTCATTTTTCAGAAATGACTCCACTGCTAACTATGACGCTATGTCCATGTTATCCCATGTAACCATGACATCACTTCCACACTCAGATTTAATCTCTTTCCCATGTATTTCATCATTACCTTTGGTGCAGTGGCCCTAGCAATTTTCTTCTTCCTTGCATTTTAAAAAACAATCTTTTAAAAGAAGGATATTGCAATATTCTTCTCTCTCTCCTTTTATTACAAATCTGCAAAGTAGTGAGAAACACAGAAAAAGAGTTGCTTTCAATATTATCTGCAATGCTGGAGGTAGATAGCAAGGTTTCAGAGGTATAAAGTTTAAAAGAATGAGACATTCTTGTGCTTTGAAATAATACATAGGTTTGTGGTGAAAAAAACAGTTTCATAGAAAATGTGGGTTTATAAAGAAAGTGAGATGAGGTAAGAAGGGCAGCAAGAACTTCATTCAGAGGAGGCTTTTCCTTCATCCTCCGGCATGTCCTAGTGACAGAAAGCCATAAACCGCCGTGTTGCCAGCTTATGTGTGTCACTCTCTCACTTCCTCTTTTAAGGTTCGTGACCCAAGTTGTCAGACTGTTACACAAATAAGAGGGACAGTGGAGGACACGTGCAGGTTTCTTGCAAAGACTCTTGGACCCATGAGCCTTGGCATCCAGCGACGGAGGCAGCAGTCCAGAATGTCCTGAAATGGGAAACATTGCCAATAGGTAAGACTCATTCATCTTCTGTCTCCCAGAATTCAACAGAGCTCCCTGAACAATGTTGGCACCTGACCATCAGGGGATGCTGGAAAAAAAAAATCACACAATTTGCCAAAATTTAATAAATGTGGGAGCCTTTTTAAGTACTCAACTGTTTTTGAGCCTTTAGTCTTCACAGCTTGGCACTTTTCTCTACAAAAATTAAGCTAAAATTGACTTTTTTACAATGAAAATTGAGAGTCAAGTGTAATCACCTGACTCCAGGAGATTAGGCTTTAAGAAAACCACCAAATGTCGCAAGCATCATGACTGAACCATAAGATGTCAGCCACAGGCTCCAGCACAGCATAATCCCAGCCAAAAGAACTGCTGGGCACCCAGAAATGCCAACC